CCCCCAGCTGGGGAGCCCTGAATCCAACTACAGCACAGTCACTACAGAATGCACAGCCTTCCCCACCACCACCAAGCTGAAAAGGTGTAAGTGGAGGCACCCACGCGGGGCTGTGTGTGCTGAAGTTAGGGGCTCTTCCCAGACCTCAGGTCTCAGCTCCCCTGTGCTTCTGAAGCTGCCCTTGCCCTGGTGAGGGTGTTCGCCCGCTTTGAGCTCAGCCTTCAGGCCACAGTGCAGCCCTTCCTGGGGACCCCACGTAGGGCACTGTGGAGTCACTGTCCCCTCTGGTCCCTGGGGCTGGGCTCTGCTGCTTCCCTCTCAACAGAAAAATGACTCAGCCTTTCAGAGTCCCTGCCTCTCCACAAAATGTTTCTCCCGCCCCTCTTCCTTCACTCCCCCTTCCCAGCTTTGAACAACTCTCAGAGCAACAGTTTGCCCTGTGCAGGCCTTTCCCACCCTCCATCTCCTGCACCCTTTAGCCCCACCATCCCCGGACCCCCAGAGGAAAAGGCCTGCAGGGAGACAGCCCATGAACCATCTTCAGGGTCCTCTGCCGGCCCCTCCACCCTCCAGCCATCTGTCCTCGCCCCTGACCTCTACCTGCTTCCCAGTGGCCCTGCTGCCCTGCAAGGACCCAGCATCTGACCACCTCACCGCCCCACTGCTGTCACCTGTGCACTCAAGCTGGACATGCAGAGAAGCCGAACCACCGACCTGCTTCCACACAGCTCGCAACACTGTTCAAATCTAAAGCCGCTCAGGGTGCTCCTCTGCGTGAAACCTCTGGCAGCTTCCCATTGAGCCAAGTCTTTCAATGCCCCACAAAGACCACCATGATTGCTTCCTATCCTTGCCTCTGACCTCACATCCTATGCTGCTTTCCTGCACTCACTCCTCTCTAGCCACTGTAGTCTCTATGGTCTTCCATATACCAGCCACAGGGCCTTTGCACCTGCCCAGAATTCTCTTCTCTCAAATACCCACATGGCTCACTCCCTGGCACTTCAGGTTTCTTCTCAGTGTCATCTTATTAAACAGGTCATCTCCAAGATAGTACTCAGAAGCTGGGCGGGGTGCTGTGTGCCTGTAGTCCCAGATACTCAGTAGGATCACTTGAGCCCACAAGTTCAAGGCCAGCTTAGATAACATACACAGACAACATCTCAAAAAATAAAAAGATAAAATAGTAGCCCATGCTATTGGATGGAGGCACTGACACCATCTGCTACATAAGTCACGGGAGGGTTTGTCTCCCCTTCCCTGTCCCCCAAGCTTCCACTCCCACCTAAGTGTCCCATTTAGCACTGCATCCCTGTCGCTTCAATCAGTGCTCGGCACACAGTAGGCGCTTGGCAAATCCCCATGCAGTAAAATAAAGTGGATCCCCACTGGGCATGGCAGTGCACATCTGTAACCCCAGCACTCAGGAGGCTGAGCAGGAGGATCACCTTGAGTTTAAGGCCAGCCTGGACTACATAGGAGTTCCAGACTTCTTCTCCCCACCCCGGCACTTCACACTGAATTCAGTCTCCCCAGATGCTGCCACTTGAGTTCACTCCCATCCAGGGGCACTGGCGTTTACTTACCCACCCGGGAAGAAGGGTGGCCCCGAACCCCACCACTGCGAGGCTCATCAGCCTCAAGTCCTGCCCCTCCACCACCTCAGCTGCTTTTCCTTTTCAAACCCTGTCATCAGGACCCTAGGGTGATTCCAAACTGCTCACCCACTGCCAGGCCCTCCTTGGTCAGTGGACTAAGCTCCAACCCTCTGGCCTCTTCATCCAGCTCTGCACAACACCCCCTACTGCCCGGGTCAGGTTCACCCCTGCTGAGTGCAGAACTATGGCTCTGGCCAAGCCTGAGCCAGCCCGTGCCACAAGCATCCTTCCTCCCGCACCACCCGATCTGAATGCGGTCTAGGAGATCAGGCCCCTTGGGCCCCTTGTGTACAATTCTGTTTTAGTTTTAACTGCCACACAATGCATCTGTCCCCCTCCCTAGGGGGTGCATGGTAAGGCAAATCTGGGAACTGCATCCCATCCAGGGGACCCTCCCACCCCAACCCAGGTCTCACAGGGTGGGATCCACCCACTCAGTCCCACAGACGCTCGCACCCGGCTCCCCAGACCCCAGAACTGGGGATTGAGTCCCAGGCACCTCTGCCCGGTGAGAGCCCGGCCCCGAGCTGCACCCAGCCCCACACCTGGCTTCTACTCGGTGGCCTCCTCTCCCGGGGAGCACCCCCTGCCTCTACAACTTCCTCTGCAGGTGGATCCCAGTCTCGCCCACCTGTAGAGCGTCTTGCGAGGCGCCAGCTGGTCCTCGCTCAGGCCCTGCGCGATGTAGTAGTCGGCCACGATCCCCAAGATGCGGCCCCAGAAGAGAACGCGGTCGTAGCGGTAGTCGCGCTTCACCAGCTGCAGCGAGGTGAGCAGCGCTGCGCGCCTCTCGGGGCTGAGGCCCTGTCCGCTGCCCGCCGCCAGCTCCAGCGACAGCAGCAAGCTCTCTGAGTCCATGGCTCTAGCTCGGCAACGCCCGACACAGGCCGACGCGTCTCCATGGCGACCTAGCCCCGCCCCCATGAACCCCGCCCCTTCCTGAGTTGGGGCCCTGCAGTCTTCAGCTGGCTCTAGTCCCTACCCCGCCCACTTTCTGGGCTATTTTGGGCCAGAGCCCTTTCACGAACTTGACATTTAGAGTTTAGAGCTTCTCTGTATACATACAACCGGGATGTGGGAAGAAATACAATATACCCTCGATACTAAGTATGAGGGCACAGGCCTACAATCCCAGCACTCTAGGAGACTGAGGCAGGAGGATCGAGTTCCAGACCTTATTTTAAAAAAAAAGTTAGGTAGCCGGGCGTGGTGGCGCACGCCTGTAATCCCAGCACTCGGGACGCTGAGGCTGGAGGATCACTGTGAGTTGAGACCAGCCTGGGTTACATAGTGAGTTCTAGGTCAATCTCAAATACAGAGTGATACCAAAAAAGACAAAAAAAAAAAGGGATGAACCTCAGTACGACGGCTGTGGATTCAATCCCCAGTGCCAGGATGTGGGGGTGCACACCAACATTGAGACTAGCTGTATACTATCTCAGCCCAGTCATGTCACTTTTCGGCCTCAGAATTTTTTGGGGGGTGGGGACAAGGTCTCCTATGCCCAGCTTTGGCCTCAGTAACTGAGATCCCTTCTGGCTATAGAAGTCTGAGATCCCATCCCAACCCAGGTCTTACAGGATGGGATCCAGACACTCAGCACCAATGACCCTTTGCCTGCCCCTGCCTGGGACTAGTCCACCTGTGTCCAATGAAGATTAAGCAAGGTTGAGGCAGTTGTGGTGGCCCACTCCTATAATCCCAGCAGTTGAGTGGCTGAGGCAGGAGGATCTCCACGAGTTCGAGGCCAACCTAAACTACACAGTGAGTTCTTTTTGTTTTTGTTTTTGTTTTTGTTTTTGTTTTTTAACAAAAAACAATTGCACAACAGGGCAAGCTCATAGGGCCACATGGTGAAAAAAGACAGTGTAGAGGGGGGCACAGAAAGGGTGATGTTTACAGCCTACACGTTACAACTGCTACCACCTACATTTACTACCTTGAGCCTCACAGATGCTAAGACTCCAATACAACCACAGACAAAAGGACAAGGCCCACTGCAGCTGGGGTGCTACACCCCCAGGCCACTACACATCCACTCTGCTCCCATTCAAGGACAAACGCAAACACATTTTGCATTTGTAAGTAATGAGCTTGCTGCTAGGGAGAGCTGGGCTTTACGGTTATTATTAACTGATCTTTTCATTTAAGGATTCCCTTCAGAAAACACATGAAGGGGCCAGGGATTTAGCTCAGCAGTTCAGTGGCCTGCCTTGCAAGCACAAGGACCCGAGTTCAATCCCCAGTACCAAAAAAAAACAAAACACATGAAATCAAAATGACCTGGGCCCCAAGGCCAAGCACATAGACACAAGTGTCCAAATAACACAGATGATTACTTTGTTTTGATTATGGAGGCATTATTTATGAAAGCTTTTAAAATAAGTTTTGGAGGGAGCTGACTTGGCTAAACATCCCTTCCATCCCAGAACAGATTACAACCTCCTCTTCACCACTTCCCCACTCCCTTTAGCCAGACCTGTCCCCCTCCACCTTCCTTTATTGGGAGATCTAGCCCAGTTCCTCATCTGTGAGGTAATGAAACAGAAAAAATAAATGAACTGTGGCCAGTGGAAGATGCTTCAAGTGTTCACTGCACAGAAAAGAGCCCAAGCATTTGCTTCTCGCTGATCTGTGTTTACCTGTTACCAGCAGGCTCCATTGTCAGGAAACGGAATCCAAAAGGAGACAAGGAACTGTAAAATCCTCAGAGGGCAAATCCTGGCTATTGCTCACCACAGGGTGTGCAGTGTAGTGCAGCCTCTGGGGCAGAGGGTTCAAATCCATGTTCCACCACTTAAGAAAGTCACTCAGTCTCCCCATCTATAAAGTGGGCAAACACATACACAATGCAGTGGTTGTCAGATTAGACACTGGGAGTTACATCTCGGGCTTCAAGGCCTCCCTGTGGGTGTGGCAGAATTCAAATTCTGAATCACATAGAGCTGAAATTCTATGACATTTGGAAGCTGAATTAAAATAGAGTACCTCAAAAACAAGTCAGGCATGGTGTCACCCAGCACCTAGAAGCTAAGACATCCAGGAGACAGAGACCAGACAGGCAAAAAAAAAAAAAGACAGTGCCTGGGCTGAGGATGTATCTTAGTGGTACAGCATTTGCATAACATGCATGAGGCCCTGGATTCCATCCCACTATATTAATTTTAAAATCCAAAAATTTTAAATAGGGAACCAAGGTCAGTGACACACATCTGTAATCCCAGCTACTTGAGAAGCTGGGGTAAGAGGAGCACAAGTTTGAGGCCAACCTAAGCAATTTAGCAAGATCCAAAGGACTAGGGATATAGCTCAATGGCACAGTGCCTGTCTAGCATAAGCAAGGACCTGAGTTTAATTCCCAACATAAAAAAACAAATAACTTGCATACATGTCGGATACTGTTTCCAGCACTTTACATATATTATCTATCCCCAAATCCTTGCACCATCTGTACTGCTGTCCTCCTTTGTGTACAATCACACCATCTCCAACACCAGCCAGGTGAGGATTCTGTCCTCGATTTGCTTCCAGGAAACGAGTAGGGGGTTTTCTTCCCCAGGGTCCAAGAGCACTAACCCTTGGTGGTCAGGGCTGTCAAACCAGAGAGGCCACCAGCAAGGTTCACAATGGCCAAGTCAGACACAGCTGAAGAGAAACCGCCACAGGCAGGAGGGCAGGGTTTTGCCAATAGCTACAGACAGCAGCCATCAAAAAACTGCAGGGAAGGGCTGGTCAGAGCTCCAGGAAACACATGGCTGAGGGAAGAAAACCCCACAGGATCCCGAGCAGTCGGACACAGTGTGGCTTGTGAAGAGGCCTGTTTCTTACTCCATCTCTGCTCTGGGCACACAAATATAAGGGGAACTTAAGGCTCACACAGATCTATATGTGGCAAGGAAAGAACACTGGGCTAGAAGTTATCCAATAAGGACTCTCATCCCAATTCTGCTATCAAGCCACATACGGAGTCATTTCACTTTCTAGACTGGCCTAGGGCTGAGGAAGAGAAAAAATTACTAGTAAAAAAATCTTGGAAACTCTGAAGCTGAAGAGGCCCAGAAGAAAAACAAAATAGCCTAAAGGCTGAATGAAGTCTTTTTTGAGTCAATAATTTCAAGAAATTTTAATATGATTCTATTCATTTCATATATAAATTCTTCCATCATGAGCCACATTATTAACCTGGCAAAAATCCTGAAAGGATAGAGATAAAGCAGAAAAGGCCACCTCAGTAGGAGTCTGTCTGTGCCCCATCTTTGCTTTCCAACCCCAAACAAACATGACCAGCACCCTCTGGGAGATCAACTTGATTTAGAGAGGTTGTTCCTTGATGATTTCTGTCTCAGTCACACCTCCATCCAAAGCTCGAGGGAGGCAGCACCATCTCTAGACTCACAAGAGACGGTGACCAGGTGCCACAGGGACGGCATGCAGTCAGTGTGCTTCTAGAGCAAGAGGTGCCCTCAGTCACTCGTGGAAACCCTTAGGCGTCACTGGTGCCTGGAACCAAATGTAATCCTCAGAGGCCAAGGCTGGCACAGAAGGTCTGCCGCAGGACAGGGTCACGGTGAGTTTGTGACCCCGGGTAGGTACCCGGTAGTTGAGCTTGGGTCGAAACCACTCCTCTCCACAGTCTCGGTGACCTTGAACCATGATGATGGTGCCCATGAGTGGAGGAGCCTGCAGCTCGCTGAAGGCATCAGCCAGGAAGATGGCTCGGAAGAGCCGGCGCAGACAAGCAGACGTGCTCAGGCTCTGGTCCACACTGAGAGGGGCCAGCCGGGACAGGTCAAGTTCATAGAACTCCTTGGGGCTTACAGCACTGCCCCCGAGGAGGATCAGCACTCGTGGTACCAGTGTCCGGGCAAAGAGGTCCTCCAGGTGGCCAAGGACACTGTCCAGCTCCGCCAGGGCTTGCTGACACTTCCTGCTGCTCGCCTCACTGGCCGTCCGAGGTTTCTTCCTTGCTATGTCCTCCGCCTATGAGAACAGATCACAGGAGAGATAAAAAGTAATATGGACGTGCCTGCCCTCTGAAGAGTCTACGCAGACAGACTTACAGACTGGATTTCTAGCTCAATGACCTGCCACAACTACACAGTGAACAGTCCTATCAGAAAACCTTACAGTGTAAAGGAAAATATGGTCTCTGTACACAACTATGATTCTTTTACACTCAAAACATCAAAGACAGTACTCTAAGGCTAGAGGGCGTCCAGACAGAAGTGCAGGAATAAAGAGTATGTGGTCTAACAAAGATAATTCTGGAGGTTCTCATCAAACAGTAAGTTAAATACATGGGTTATTAATATATGTTCCCACTTGGGCTGGGGATTTAGCTCAGTGGTGCCAGCCCAAGGTTTTAAGTTTCAATCCATGGTACAAAAAAATATATATGCATGCTCCCACGAAAACACAGAAAAAACTAAGAAAGGAAAAAGAAACCAGAAGACAAGTGCTGAGAACAAGTAGAGAACTAGAGAGCAGGCAACACTGAACAAGGCAACAAGTTTTAAAAGATGTCATGGTGGCACACACCTGTACTCGAAGCACTCAGGAAGCTGAGGCAGGAGGATCATTATGAATTCAAGGCCAGCCTGAACTTAATAGTGAGACTCTAGCCTGGCGTGGTGGCGCACGCCTGTAATCCCAGCACTCAGGAGGCTGAAGCAGGAGGATTGCTGTGAGTTCAAGACCAGCCTGGGCTATGCAGTGAGTTCCAGGTCAGTCTCAATTACATAATGAGACCCTGTCTCAAAACCAAACCAAATCAAAAAAACAAAAACGTTGGGTTTCATATGCCTGTAATCTCATCACTCTGGAAAGCTGAGGCAAGAGGATCACAAGTTTGGGACTCAGTGAGAAAGCCCCGGGCTCAATCCTCAATTCTGAGGTAGGGGTGAGGAGAAACTGGTGAACATTTCGAAAGAAAAGAAACCACAATTTAGAGAGCCAGTTCAAGGTTGGGGAAGGGATGGGTGGGGGCAGGAAGCTTGGTAAACCCACGATTAGTATGCTCAATGCTCTAGGTTCTGGCCAGCTGTGGTGGTGCACACCTGTAATCCCAGCACTTGGGAGGCTGAAAGAGGACTGCCCTGGGTTGAGGACCAGTTTGGGCTACATAGTGAGTTCAATGCCAGCCTGAATCTCATAGTGAGATCCTGTCTCAACACCCCCAACACACACACAAAAATCCCTAGGTACACACACACACACACACACACACACACACACACAATTTAAGAGGGAGTTCATAAAGTCCAAACACAACACACAATACAAGTCTCAGAGAGTTAAGCTAACAAAAAGTGTAGCCCTTGCAGCTGCTACACCTGAAAGTGTTCTCCCTGCCTACCATCTAAGGACCACAAAGTCCTCCCACCATGCTCCCTGCGCACCTGGGGAGATGTTTTGCGGTAGAAGTGCTTGAGCTGTTCGTAGGGCAAAGGCAGTTGCTGGCGTTGGTACATGATGTGCTTGAGAAGTTCACACGTAAACCGGCAGCAGCCTTCCTGGCTCACAGGCCCAGGAAACACCACTGGTACCAAGCAGTCTCTAGGACAAAAGAGTTCGGAAGGGTTGGGCTGTTCCTGGGCACAGTGGGTCTCCAGCAGGTCCATCTGAGGTTCAGGAGCGTCTTCCGATTTCTCGTACCATTTCAAATCTAATCCGAGAATAGAAAGATAAAATGCGAAAAAGAAAAGCGCTAGGTCAATGGAAGTCTTCCCGTCCCCTGTGGTCTCATCGGCCACCCCCGCGATGAGGGCACCCTGCCACCTGCACGGAGACCTCGCCACCTACCCACGTCATTTAAGAGAAAGGACGCAGAGGGGCTCGGAGGCAGGAACTGGGGCTCCGCTCAGACAGCAGCGGACCCTGGCCGGGGGAAATGAGTCCAAAGTAAATTAACAGCAGGGCCAGAACGCCGAAACCAAGAGAGAAGAAGCAGCGCAACCCAGGTGACAGGGTCGTGGTAGATCTAGGCGGAGCCGGACGCGCGACCCCGAGCAGAGAAGACAGACCGGAGGAAGAGTCGGCTAAATAACCGGGGGGGGATGGCAGGGCAAAAACAGGTCCCCAAGGCCCCCCAAGCCCTGGACCCCATGCTTTACCGGGGGCAGAGGCCGGGGGCAGCACTTCCGACTCCATCGCCGCCATCGCTACCTCTTCCTTCCGCTGCCAACAGTTAGAATGTGCGCCTGCGTAGCAACGTAAAGGCCACACCCACTTCCGGCTCGGTCGGCCCGAGAAGTGAGGGCGTGGCACCGCCTCTGCGAGGAGAGATGGGCGGGGTTGAGCATGTTGCCAGTTTAGCTCCCCGTTGCGCACGTGCCCAGCAGAGAAATTTAGGGTTTGGGGATATCTTCCCCACGCAGTCTGCATTCTGAGTTAGCTCTCCGCCGCTCACTTACTGTGCCCGGACCTGTCCTCGGCCCTGGAGACCGTGAACAAACTGTCCTCCAGGAGGGTACAGTCTGAGAGATAATGAAGTGGGCGCGGTTATAGTGGAGTGTACAGGACGCTTGGGGCATGGAAAGGGAGGTCCCATAAGAAATATGGGAAGAAGACGTGTGACCTGTAAATTAGTAAATTAGCAAGGTAAAGAGGAGGACTAGTGTCCTTGGAGAACTTGAGAGACAAGAGCATCCTCTGTCAAGGACTGAAAACAGTTACTAATATAAAGAGTGACTCTGTAGTGGACGAATGAGCCACATCACGTCAGGACCTTAACAGCGATGTAAGGAAATGTGTCCGGCCCCCTCACACACCAGTGCCTGGGATTGAGCCCAGGGCCTTTGCACAAAGCTACTTCCTCGGCCCTTTTTTATGTTTTGAGATGAGATTTTACTGTTTACCAGGCTGGGCTCGAACTTTAATCCTCCAGCCTCAGCCTCTCACGATGGTGGGATTACAGGTATGTGTTGTACCCCCAGCTGCGAAGCTTTTTTTAAAGTAGCAGAGTGACGTGATTACATTTACATTTTACAGATTTAATCTCTTGTGCTTGCTTTGGCAGCACCTACAATAAATTTAATCACTACACTGGCTGTGGTGCAGAGTTTGAAGTGCAAGGAGGGATCAGAGAGGGAATCAAGGCCTGGCACAGTAGTGCCACCTGTAATCCCAGCTACTTCAGAGGCTGATGCATGAGGATGGCAAGGTTGAGGCCAACCTAGGCACCTTAGTAAAGACACTGAGTGTAAAACATTTGTAAAAGGACTGGGTATGACATGTGCCAGTCCCTGGATTCAAGCTCAAGGAGAGGGAGGGATATTACAGGCAGTAACAGCAATTACCCAGTATGGTGAAAAAGGCCTGGATTTGGGTAGTCATGGTGGCTGGAGAGAACTGGGTGGACTCTAGAGATAAAACAGTATTTAAAGTCAAGTGAGCATGACTCAGTGGTGGATCTGAGAAGGAACAGAGACTACAAAGACAAGCAAGTTTCTAGGTTCAGCAACTGTATGGCTAGTTGTGCTAATCAATGAATGAAGGAAACGCTAGAAGGAGAGTAGATTTTGGATTTTTTGTTTGTTTGCTTTTATAGTGCTCAGGATTGAACTTGGACCTCAAACAGAGCTACATCCCCAGCCTTCTCTTTATTTTCAGTCAAGATCTAGCTTCAGGCTGGGCTTGAACTTGTGATTGTTCTGCCTCAGCCTCCCAGGGTTCTGGGATTATAGGCAAGTGCCATCAGCCCAGCTAAGAAGAGTAGGTTTACTGCAGAATGAGTAAGCAGAAGAGATGAGTTCAGTTTTTCATAGACTGAATTTGATGTCCCCATTAGACAGTGAAAGATATATTTAGGAACACATTTGGAATAGAGATATATATTTGAGGGCCTTCAGGATAAGAGTGGATAGACTCACCCAATGAGGGTATATAGAATAAGAACGGCTGAGATCCTGAAGACAGCAATGTTTATGAGATGACCAGAGACAGAAAAATCTAGGAGGACATGGGAGCAAAGAAGAGGGTGTGTTTCAGAAAGTAGAGATCAGAGGTCAAAACATACAGTACTATAAAAGTACAATGATTAAAATACTGTGGTATTGGACTAGCGATCTAGCTTGGTGGTAGAGCTAAAGCTCTGGGTTTGGTCACCATTGCTGCAAAAGGGAAGCAATCCAAGCAAAGAAAAAACAAAACATAGCTAGTCATGGTGGTGCAGGCCTGTAACACCAGCTACTTAAGAGGCTGAAGCAGAAGGATTTCAAGTTTGAACACAGCCTAGACAACTTAACAAGACCCAGTCAGAAAAATTAAAAAGCAAGCCAGGTGTGGTGATACACATCTGTAATCCCAGCACTTGGGAGGCTGAGGCAGGAGGATTGTCCTGAGTTCATGGCCAGCCTTGGCTACATAGCAAGATACTGTCTCAAAAAACAAAACAAAAAATCAACAACTAAAAAAGACTGGGACTGTAACTCAGTGTCAGGCTCTAGGTCCAATTCTCTTATACTGAAAAGAATGAACAAAAACAAAAAACACTGTGGTATTATTATAGGTAACTAAGTCAGGTAGAAATATTACAGGCAGTCAGACAGGGCTAAGGCCTCAAGGGAGTCAGTGCCGATGATGAGAACACATTACAACTGTGGCTGGAGCCACAGTTGTTGAAGTCCAGGCCTCAAGGTACCAGAATGACCAGGCCTACATGCCTCCCCAAGGGATAAGCAATAAATTAAAGATTATACTATAATTAGTATCACTGGGTCCTGTAAAGTCTAGATAGGCATCAGTCACTCGAGTGGGTGACCAGGACCATCTCTTCCTAAAAAGATCCTTGTTCTGGGTGCTGCACTCTTGGCGCTGGCTGGGGGCAAGCGAACCTCGAGCAGATGCCGCAGCCATTGTGACCATTATGACCATCGCAGCGGGGTTCCAGAGGCCCGGGAGGTGGGAGACTTTCCACTCAGTGACTGAGATGTCGTCCACTGCAGGTTTTTGCCTTCTCTCTTCCCTGAGAGGGGGCTGAAGAAAATTTGGAGGATACAGTGGCAGCTTTTCAGCATGTAGTTACAATTGACATGCTAGGATTGGACTGCCACATCACAAAAGATGAACAAGTTGTGGTGTCACATGATGAGAATCTGGAAAGATCAACTGGGATCAATGTAAACATCTCTGATCGCAAGTATCGTGAGCTCCCACCTTACCGTGGCAAACTGGATGTCCCATTTTAAAGAACACACCAATGTGAAGGAAAAGATACTTGAATTCCATTGCTGAAGGAAGTTTTGGGGGCCTTTCCTAACACCCCCATTAACATTGATATCAAAGTCTACAACAGTGTGCAGATTAAGGTTTCAGAACTGGTGAAGCAGCATAAGGGAGAACACTTAGCACTGTGGGGTGATGCCAGTTATGAAATTGTAGAAAAGTGCTACAAAGAGAATTCAGATATTCCCATACCCTTCAGTCTACAACGCATTCGGCTTACTCTTGGCCTTTTCTTCACTGGCCTCTTGCCTTTTGTGCCTATTCGAGAGCAGTTTTTTGAAATCCCAATGCCTGCTATCGCACTGAGATTAAAAGAACCACACACCATGTCCAGAAGTCAAAAGTTTCTCATGTGGCTTTCTGATACATTATTAATGAGGAAAGCTTTATTTGACCACCTCACTGCCCGAGGCATTCAAGTGTATGTTTGGGTATTAAGTGATGAACAAGAGTACAAAAGAGCTTTTGATATGGGAGCAACTGGAGTCATGACTGACCATCCAACGAAGTTTAAGGATTTTTTACATAATTCTCCAGAGATAGGTACTAGGGTGTATTCAGAGAAATCACAGAAAGACCTCAGAAGATAATATAAAACCATCATTTACCTAAGATAGTTCCAGAATGACAGATGGTTTAATCAGTTTTGATTACCTCAATTTTAAGCCTGTATGACAATGTAGAGATTATATATTGTATATTGATTTTAAACAATATGGTATATTTTACACTTATAAATTGCTTGGAAAGATAACTGATTTGAAATGTAAGTAGATTATTGATGAAGGTATCTGTATATAATGCAGTATTCTACTATAATTACTTCCAAAATCAGACTATTGGATAAATTTGCCATTAGCCTTCTTTGGAATAAGACCAACTAATTTAGTAAAAGAAAGTTACTGAAGGCTATTATAACCATTCTGCACTGTCTCATTATGTCTAGAAACACCTTAGTTTAAAAAAAGAAAATTACAAAGGAAGAAGAGCTTGAAAATCAATGTTAGCCAGGTGTGGTGGCACACGCCTGTGATCCCAGCACTTGGGAGGCTGAGGCAGGAGGATCACCTCAAATTCCAGGCCAGCCTGTGATACATAGTGAGTTCAAGGCCAGCCTGAACTATACAGTGAGAAGAAAAAAATAAGAAAAAGAAAAGAGGAAAAGAAAGAAAATCAATGTTGTGGTTTTCTGGTAAGTTATTCACTGTTAGTAGAAGACAGGCTCAAAGAAATAACTGAAAGTTTGTTAACTGATCAGAAATAAAATCTGTAGATTGAATACAATTTCTCAGTTGCTCTTGTTAATGAAGATATTCTATTTGGACTCCTTTTCAAGTGTGTAACAATGCCACCATGTCTATTTTTTATACAGTAAAAATAGACTTTCCAATTGTAAATTAAAACAATGTCCAAATAGTCATTTTTTATGATTCTTCTAAATAAATGTAAAATATTCATTTTTTGGCCCTGACTTGACTGTTTGAGCCTACATCTAGATTTTATTTTATTTATTTATTTATTTTTTTTGGTACAGGGGATTGAACTCAGGTACTTGCGCTTGCAAGGCAGGCCACCAAACCGATGAGCTAAATCCCCAGCTCTACATCTAGATTTTAAATAACATGTTGAACTCCAATAATCTTATTACACTGAGGGAAGTAAATATCATTTGTTGTTTGTAATATTGCTAGTATGAACCACTGTTCCTGATCTTTAAGAATTCAGTCTTCTGGGACCGGGATGAAGCTCAGTGGCGCCGTGCCTGCCTGTCAAGCCCAAGATCCTGAGTTCAACCCCTGGTACTGGGAGAAAAAAAAAAAAAAAGAATTTGGTCTTCTGAGTACTAAGTAGAAACAAATTTTCCCAAAACATTACATATCACTCAGTTTTTCTGATGTGACTTCATCATGTAAATCTGTTTCTAATTTTATTGACTAATTTTTATGATCTCAAATTGGGGGATGAATATAATCTGGAATAAGTGTCTTTTAGCTATAGTATGCCTCTCACTTGGAGTTTGCCAGCTGTACAGCTATGAAGGGTAACTGTGCTCTCTCACCTGTCCCTGGATGACCTGCTTTGTTTTTTCAAACTGAAATAAAGTTTTCCAAGAACAACAACAACAACAAAAAGGTCCTTGTTCTTTCCAAGTATACTTGCTACATGACCTGTTTCCCCATTGAATCAATATTAACTGAGCGGCTATACTTGTAATCTTACTCGTTGGTTGATCATAGTTTGATACACATTGAACCCGCCTTGTGATTTTGCGAGTGGGGCTGGTTTAAGAGTGACACAGGCTGGGGATTTAGCTCAGTGGTTCTGCTGCCTTCCTTGCAAGCAGAGCACCGGAGTTTGATCCCCAATACAAAAAAAAAAAAAAGCCAGGGATTTAGCTTGGTAGTTTCAGCATCTGTCTCAAAAGCACAAGGACCTGAATTGGATCCCTGGTACAAAAAAGCAAAAAAAGAGTGACACAAAACCAAGAAAGCATAAAGGGAAAGACTGCCACACCTGAGTTTAAAATGCATGCAAAGGTACTATAATGACTAATAAATGACTAATTACAAGCCAGGAAAGATGTTTGCATGTGACTTGTGTGTGTGTACCCATGATGTATACATAGCCCACAGCCAACCACCTCATAGGTACCTCATAAGCAACCCCTCCAGGAAGCTAATCACACCACCACCTTCCACTCCTCAGGATCCAGGTCTCCTCCTGGACAGACATTCCTGTTCAGCCTACTCCTCTGCCAGCCTTCACTTCTGTCTGTGGTAGGTGATGTCGTTCGAGCATAGGCTATCAGAATGGTCATCCCTTCTTAAAAGAAGTTCAAGCCAGGTGTGGTGTCACATGCCTTTGATTCCAGCACTCAGGTGAATGAAGCAGGAGGACTGTGGGAAGTTTGAGGCCAGACTAGGCTACATAACAAGACTCTGTCTCAAACAAATAAACAAACAAAAAGTTCATTCAGCAGGCAAGGGGACTGGGATGGATGAAGTAAAATTATGTATGTTGGGCTTGGTTGTCAAAAGATCCAAGTAGATGAAAAGACAGGTGTTACCAGAAGTGCAGTAAATTTGAATTATCAAGAGGGCTCAGAGGTGGTGGTAGAGATAATACTGGGGTGTGGTCTTATCTCTCCCTTCCAATCCCCGTCCTCTTTGAGGTCTCCTGCTGAGTTCCATAGTCTTAGCCTCTTAGCAGTTTTTCAAATGGCCCTGTAATGCTGTTTGGGATTGAGCTCTGCAAAACAACCTTTTCCTCAACCACACAGGATACTGAGAGATAAGTCATGTGTGCTTTCGACCATTGAAGACCCACAGCACTGAGTGGACCTGGAAGGCCCTTGCAGACTCTGGTCTTTTGCTCTCACCACTGCAGGAGTCATGCCATGTGGATGGCCACTGTGCCAACAGTAGACCTGCCTGCCTGCATGTGGACCTAAGAAGAGGCCATGGACACCACCAGGTCAGAACCCTTGCAGGGATCACCAGAGGTAAGGCGCTGTTGCTGCTTCCAGTTTTGAGAACTGGAAGCAAAAGGCGCTTTAATTCTTGGCTGTGTATAAACACCTTGTTGTTTGTGAAGAGAGGGAAGTAGACTCACTCTGAATGGTGAGTCACGAGATAGCCCTAGGCCTGGAAATTAAACTTTGGCGTCCTGACTCTCAGCAATTCTGCTTCTCCACCCTACCTTTCTGGTGTCTTGTACACTGGTTTGTGTTTACTTACTGTATGCTGACGGCAAGAGCCATAAAGAGCAGGAGAGATCGCTCGGCAAGAAAGTAAAAAAGTCAACAATTTCCTGGGGCCCTTGGCCAAGTTTCTATTCCCGGGCCACTTCCCCGCCCTCCAGAAGGTTGATGTAACCCGAGCCCCAGCCCCGCCCCAAGTAGGGGATTGGTCCCTTCTGCAGCCTTGGCCGGTTTGAAACCAAACTCGGTTCTCTCCGATTGGTCCGGCTTCAAAACAAAGGGGAGGGGGGGAAACACTTGCTGCGGGCATCCTCTCAGCACTCAGGCAGCCAACAGGTTTATGGGTTCGAGCCTCGTGTCAGGGCCACTGCGGTGCCTGGGGCGGCTAAAACCAGCCCCGGACAGTGCCAACCCGGCAATAAAGCCGTGACTACCGTATAAAGGTGGCATAATCATCTCCACAGTAACAGCTGTAATTAGGCTAACGACCATCTGCCTCCGCCCTGGCGCTCGCCCTGACTCACCCCAACAGCATGCGGGCCAATGGGGGAGAAACTGAGGCAGAGGTGGAGCTGGACAGCAGGAGGGACCAGTTGCCGTGCATACTGCAACTTCCCAGGTCCAAAGGCTGTTGTCCGGGATCCGCGGCTAAGGGGCCAGACCCAGGGTCGCCAGCAGAGGTTGATTCTGATGTAAACTCTCGGCGCGGTCGCGGGCGAGGGGCCCTCCTCCGCCCCCTAGCCCAAGCCTTCGAGAATGTACAGCTCGGCGAGTGGGGATCTCGAGCCGGACTACAGCTCCCCTCGGCCCCCTAGCGTAGCCCCCTCCTGCCCCGCCTCGCAGCGCCGGCGGTCCGTGTCGCGATGCTTCCTGGGAAATGTAGGTCGGAGGCACGCTCGTCCAAGCAAAGCCCGAGGCCGGCGGACTCCAGGTCCCATGGTGCCCCACCGCTG